CAAAATCCCCTGAGGAACAGGAAGATGCTGAGGAAGATGATGAGGAAGAGGGAGAAGAAGCTGAAGCAGACGAAGAGGACGGAGATGAAGAGGAAGATGACGATGCGGAGGGCGAGGAGGACGATGACGAGGGAAGCCAGAACTCCAAGCCGACTATTCTTATCCGCCGCAGAGGACCGGGTAGATCGTCATCGTCCAGGGCCGTGACATCTCGCAAATCGCATGCTCGAAATGCCACGCCTAGTCGCCCTGACTATGATTACGAGGGCGTCTCGTACAAGGGCCTCAACTTCCAGGCAGCTCAAGAAAAGATTGTGGAGGAAATGATTCGCAAGAAAGAAGCTGAGTAAGTGAACCCTTCTCTTCATCGCTATGGATCATGCTAACACGCCGCCTAGCGAGGACGAGGCCTACTTTGAACCCTTCATCAACCTTCCTCCACGAGCCTTGAAAGACTATTACAGAGTCGTCAAGGATCCCATGTCCCTCAGAAAGCTTCAGAAGGCCACGAAGGGCATTCATGGACGCAACGAGGCCACCGGGATTAGCGACTTGAAGAGCTGGGCGGCATTCGAAGAAGCAGCCAGCTTGCTGTGGGATAACGCCAAGTACTACAACGAAGAAGGAAGCGAAATCTATGAACTGGCGCGAGAACTTCAGGTATGCCTCACCTTAACGACTACGAGATCAACTTCTGACAAGGGTGTAGGAATTCTTCGCTATTGAAATCAAGAAGGCCAAGGCAGCTGTTTCAGAGCCTTCGCAGCCCAAGATCAAGCTTAAGGTCCAGCAGTCGGCCACTGAGCAGCCGTCCACATCTAAGAAGATCACTATCCATGTTGGGGGCAAGAGTGATTCCGCGGACTCGCCGGCCCCCACAGTTCCCCAGGCAGCCGGAGCCGCCGTCAGTGATCAGGCGCCACTTGGCAATGGTACCGCTCGCCAGAGTGGACTACCAGCTGCTTCCGCTGCGATGGACAGACTCCGAAGCACATCGGTCGCATCCCCGAGCCCCTCTGTCACGAACAACATCAAGCGCGAGGACGCAGCACGACCTTCGCCTGCAGTGACTCCCGGTCAACCCAGCACGCCTTCCGCTTTCCCGCCGCCCGCGGGACAGACAGCAAACCTATCCAGCGCGACGTTCCAACCCATTGGAATTGTGCAGCCTCAACCGCAGGCGAATGCCATCCCACAGCCGCCTCCGAAACCTCTGTGGGATCAGCAGTTCCGTGCGCCTGGCAAGAGTACGTATAGTGCGAGAGAGATGAAAATGACTATATCACTAATCAAGCTCCCAGGCGCTGCCGATGCACTCATCACCAATCTGACTATCCAGGCTCATCCAATGATCACTCACGGAAGTCGCTTCAACATGAGCTTAAAACCCCTCGAAAGAGAGTGCAAGCAGTCTGTGACTGTTCATGTCCCCGCCACCCAGCTGAGACTTCAGGTCATTGCGACTTTGCCGCTATTCCTTGAGAAGGAAGGACGTCAGTGGCGATTGTGGGTGCAGGTAAACCGGTCTACTGTACAGCAATCTCATCCCATTCAGGGTCAGGTGCTCCCCGTCAACGCTAGAGTCTTTGACGTTCAGCTCCAGGCTGGGATGGTCAATGAAATCGACGTCTCCGTCGCGGCTGCTCTGCCTAAGGGACAAAAGCTGCCGAATGGAGCCGATTTCGAGGTGGAGACAATGACACTGCTTGCCAACGTGCCCCGGAACTAGGAGTTTTCCAATACCACTAGTCAAGCTGTTCCGTCTGACGACTATTCGGGCGTCCAAAACATCCACGGAAACGAGGCGGACGTTCAGCCTATCGACCAAGTGCGTTCTGAGAACCGTCAGGCGCATGAGGGTATTTCCGCTCTTACTCTACTGCCTCCAATCACCTTGCAAGACGTCTGGGATCAAGCTGAATTTAGGGACGCGACAGCTGCTTCCGCGGCGAACCCACTCGGGTTTCGGGAGTACATCACGAATGAAGGATTGACCACCTTCTATCCGCCCATCCCGAGTTGGCCTGAAGACGATGATGTGTCGCCGCAAGTGCCTGCAGCTCAACAGCCCGCAGCGATAGCTCCGGTGACAACTCCGGCGACGACTCCTAACCATGGAAACAACGATCATCCAGCTGCTTCGCCTCAGGATGGATCTCGTGTATTTTCCCGCTTACAGAGGCTGATGTATGAAGAGGCAGAGCATCTGCCCCTTCTGAGTGACTCGGGGCAGCCCCGGTCTTCCAGAGCTCTTCAGCCCCTGGGTCAAGCCGCCTCCCAGGCATACATGGCGTCAACACCGACTAGAGAGGCTCATGCTGCAGAGACTCGTCACAATAATCAGCCAAACGCGGGCTTTAGCCAGCCTCCACACGCCACACAACAGGTCCCGGGTGCGCAAGCTGCCGATGGATTCTATGGTCATTTACCGCAGCAACTTCGCATTGTCAACTCCGGACTGCCAGGCGAAAACATGCGACTGCAACTTCAGCAGGAGCAGATTGCCCGGGAGAATGACCGCCGGGCTCGAGAGCATTTCCAGTCTCAAGTGCATCTTCAGTACCAGCAGTCCCCGCATCGTTCTCAGCAGCGCTCCGAGATGAAAGTCAAACAGGAGGGTACTCAGATGCCTAGTCAGGATGCTCAGAACGCGGCCATCAGCAACCAGGTGGGCAAGGTCATCAAGCAAGGGGCCCAGACGCTGCAAGATCTTGAGAGCCAGCATTATGGAAGAAAGTACGTGGCAGTGACCCGAGAGGACTACGGTTACATGGGCTACTACTCGACCACTGAGATGATGGCCATTAGGCAGCGCGAGAGAATCGCTGGTCCTCAGCCGAAGAGACCGGCGCTGGAGGGCGACCCTGATGGTGAGTACGTCTGGTCTGTTTGATGGCCAAGCCATGCCTTCTTGCGGGGCCACATCCATTCTGCCTCAAGCGGCGACATGTTCTTGGTGGATATCTAAGCACTTGCTGGGGTGATAGGGGTTTTCTGGTTCTCGTGGGCTTCACTTTCTGGGATGGACTTGTGCGCTTTCGCGCCTCGTACCCGTCTGGGTACTCTTTCTCGGTTCTGGGCTTGGGATGGCTTTGTAGCCGCCATAGTATCGCCATGGAACCTCCATTGTAGAGTAAATCGCTATCATTAGATAGGAAATGAACTTATATACACACCAAATTGTATGTCCAAATCCAGTAAAACCGAGGCATGAACTACTGGTTTCTTCGTTGTCACTGAGTTGCCTTCATATATCTCGACTCGTTGAGACGAGACGCAATGAGGAATTGATTCACGTTGAGGATAATCACGGAAACACCAGACAGGTAGGTTTCTCCGGCTTATGAGATCTAGTCAAGGTGTGGCTGCAAACCCGTAGTGACTCACTGTAAATACTGTTGTTCTTTCGCAGGTATAGTGCAGCAGATGCGGAGACAGTAGATCAAATAATTTGAAATACCTACAATACCTATCCAATCCGTAGGAATATTGCAAGGACTCTAGGAGTCATACTTGCATGACGTCGTCTGGGGATCCGTTATTGAAGGGTGGACCCTCGTGGGAAAACTGGAGCAGCGTCTACCCCAGCACCCAGCAACCGGCAGCCAGATGATGTCTGTGAGTATGTCGGTAATGCGGACGGGGGGCTCGTCGGAGGATCCGACAAAGCGACCTAACCATATTATGGCGTCGCGGTGCATAGGGTTCGACGACGACCTCGAGTGCCCAGCCAATCCTCTCGTTTTCCATTGCTTGTTCGATTTGATCAACGAGCATGAAGATAGACAGCTCCTCACATCATCGTTGTTTTCTGAAGAGATATCCCACTGGGGTCCGGATTAAGCACGGCAAGTTGCATCACTAGTATAGGTCGGGCTGGCGGCAATTGGTCTGATGTTTAATACATGGTAGCTGGTTGGCGCGAGGCACGCTCGGCTCATGAGCGTGCTGCTCGTGAACCCACGAGGAGGACCGCGCAGGCGGGCCAACTCTGTCAAACTTCGTCCCAGTTGTCGTCTTGAATGCTTAGCGCCATTCAAATTCGTGGGGGAAGAGTTGATTGAAGCTTCCAAGGGCAGTTCGGTCAGGTCATGACTTCCGACGGCACCATTGCGACAACGCAAGTCTCTTTGCATTGCGGCAAGAGGTCGGCGCTCCGCCCAGGTAGCTGACCTTGCAGCTCTCAGGAACCTTGTCAATGGGTAGGCCAGGCCCCTCTCGCCGCTCACAAATCAGCCAACAATGGCTGCAGAGACATCATGTTGGGGGGCAGGATCCGACGAGGAGGACGAAAGGCGGTGTCTTTTCACGCAGGGCCATCACTGCTGCAGGACCATGATCCATCAGCGGGTGGCAGGACTCCGCGGGAGGATGGCACAGAAACGGACACGGACCATGGACCCAGGCAAGCTGCAGCATGTGGAATTACCGCGTGAAGTTTAGCGTGGACCTCCAAGTGGGAGATCGATCTTCCGATAACGGGGGGCTGATTGGCCTACGAGCTGTGTGGAGAGGCCTTTCTCCAATGAGAGAGGTCGAATGCAGCCCACTTCAGGTGGCATCTAGCGGGGTACAGACAGGACAGACGTAACGACCGGCCCTTGGAAAATGTTGATTAAGAGTCAATGGCACAGTGATGCAGCGCGGTCGGGGATGTGCCATGAGCGGGGCTAAAGAGTGGAAAAAATTCTTTTTTTCCGCTCATTGACTGGCTGACCTTGGGAACAGCGAACGCCGTCCTCGGTCATCACTGGCCATCCCGCCCAATCCACACCTTGTTGCGTACCGCCTCGCCTCGCCCGATGCTTTTTTTTTTTTTACTTCCAGTTTTTCCTTACATATACTCTTGGCCTACCGTCCATCTTCCCAGTCCGTCTTTGAACTGTGACTCAACTTGCTCAAACCTCCGTCTATAAATCCCACCATTATCCCGAGCTTTGAGCAATTCACCCTCGAACAATCCACCTTAGTATACGACATACGGTGCATGAACATACAAAATGTGCCCTACTCCTGATGTCCCGGCCTCCAATGGCCACGCAAATGGCACCAATGGCCATGCGAACGGCAATGGTGCTGCCAACGGCACCAACAAGGCTGGTGAGTTTCGCAGCTTCTTGCGCGTTACACCGACGTCAATTGATGACTGACTTTGTTGCGTCTAGACCACCCCGGCTACACTGCCATTCCTGTAAGAACCATCAATCGCCTCCGAAAACCGCTTTCGCGGTTCCGGTGACGAACTGTTCTGACCTCGACGATATAGACCAAGCAGAAGCACAGCAACCCGTACCAGCCGGTCGGCGACTTCCTCAGCAACGTTGACCGATACAAGATTAGTGTGTTCTACCGAACGGGCTTCTTTTGAGTGACCCCCACTGACGTGTGACGTATAGTCGAGTCCACCCTGAGAGAGGGCGAGCAGTTCGCCAACGCCTTCTTCGACACCGAGACCAAGATCAAGATTGCCAAGGCCCTCGACGACTTTGGTGTCGACTACATTGAGCTTACCTCGCCCGCTGCCTCTGAGCAGTCCCGCAAGGATTGTGAGGCCATCTGCAAGCTCGGCCTCAAGTCCAAGATCCTGACTCACGTCCGCTGCCACGTAAGAGCTCTCCGCATCCGCACGCCTAAACAATGCAAAGGCTAACATTGCACAGATGGACGATGCTCGCCTCGCCGTCGAGACTGGTGTTGACGGTGTCGATGTCGTCATTGGCACCTCTTCATACCTTCGCGAGCACTCCCACGGCAAGGACATGACCTACATCATCAACACCGCCATCGAGGTTATTCAGTTCGTCAAGTCCAAGGGCCTCGAGATCCGTTTCTCTTCCGAGGACTCCTTCCGTTCCGACCTCGTCGACCTTCTTTCCGTCTACAGCGCCGTCGACAAGGTTGGCGTTCACAGAGTTGGTATTGCCGACACCGTTGGCTGCGCCAGCCCCAGACAAGTCTACGACCTTGTCCGCACCCTGAGAGGTGTTGTCAGCTGCGACATCGAGACTCACGTAAGTCATCTTTGGACCGAGCGAGCACGGCGCATACCTAATGCTTACATCTGAACAGTTCCACAACGACACGGGATGCGCCATTGCCAACGCCTACTGCGCGCTCGAGGCCGGTGCCACCCACAGTGAGTTCAATGCTCGACGGCCATGTCCTTCTCACACACTGACATCTTGCTTCCAGTCGACACCTCCGTCATCGGTATCGGTGAGCGCAACGGTATCACCCCTCTCGGTGGTCTGATGGCTCGCATGATCGTCGCCGCCCCCGACTACACCAAGTCCAAGTACAAGCTGCACAAGCTCAAGGAGCTTGAGGATCTCGTTGCCGAGGCCGTCGAGATCAACATTCCCTTCAACAACTACATCACCGGTTTCTGTGCCTTCACCCACAAGGCCGGTATCCACGCCAAGGCCATTCTCAACAACCCTAGCACATACGGTATGTTCATTGGGACTGTTTCGTAACGGGGGACATGGCTAACTCATGTGCAGAAATCATCAACCCTGCCGATTTCGGTATGAGCAGATACGTCCACTTCGCATCAAGATTGACTGGCTGGAACGCCATCAAGTCGCGTGTGGAGCAGCTTGGTCTCACCATGACCGATGCTCAGGTCAAGGTTGTCACTCAGAAGATCAAGGCCCTGGCGGACGTCAGGCCGATTGCCATTGACGATGCCGATTCCATCATCCGTACTTTCCACTTGAACATTACGGAAGGTGAGGAGAAGCCGCTGTTGCCCAACTTGACCGCTGAGGAGCAGGCCAAGTTCGAGAAGGCGGAGAGAGAGCTTGCTGGCGAGCCTGAGAAGCGTGCTTTGGATGAGGCTGCCGCGGAGCCCGCGGCTAAGAAGATTAAGGCGTAAATTTTTTTCACATTTCCGGGATGCATATGGGACACCAAAAAATGGGGCATCTGCTTGTACGATCATAGAGGGGAGAGCTACAAAAGTGTTTAGTTCAGATACCTCATCAACGAAGAAACGTTCAAAGTCGAAACGGTATTACACAATTGGATCGCTTAGCTCCCAAGCGCCAGTGTTTTTGGATCTGTCGACCACCGACAGTTTCTACATTTTTAGAGGGAGCCACCAAGGCGTGATACGTGGATCAGTACTCGGTCATATCAAGGGATCGATAATTGTAACATGAATCAGTTGCTCCTTAGGAAAAGAGTTCCACCCTTCCCATCATCGAGGCAATGATATGAAATGCTCAGCTGTCGGCTGGGTCGACCATTGATGTTGGTGGGGCTGGGTTCCGCGGCTGGCGTGAGGCTAAGATAAGATAAGATAAGATAAGAGCGGCAGAACAGAAAAATTCCAGTTCACCGACCACTTTTTGGCAGAGTACTTGGTCGCAACCCTCCCTCCAGTTGCAGCCGCCCAACGAAGACAAATCTAATGAAATCCTCAGCCATGAAAACGTCCCCCATGCGCTCGTGACACCTTCGAGCCTACCGACGTATACCGTCCTAACTACTTTTCTCTCTATCCGGTCACGAATTTAAGAAAACGGAATCGAAACCTCCCATCGAAAACGATCAAAAGACAGAGCCCCTCCAAACTCCCACAACCGTCAAGAGAAAGAAGAGAAAAAGGAAAAGAAAAATGGACGCGCGCGCCCTCCTCCAATCGCAGGGATGGCGCGGAAGCGGCCACTCCCTCCACGCGACAGACGACCGCATCGGCCTCGCGAAGCCGCTCCTCCTGAACCGCAAAGACAACACCAAAGGTCTGGGCACGAAAGCGCACTTTACGAGCGACACGTGGTGGATGAACGCCTTTGACGAGCAGCTGCAGGGGCTGGACACATCGAAACCGGGACAGGTGACGCAGACGGTGACGGCGGGCCGGCTGAACCAGATTGAGAAAGTGTCGGGGGGCAAGTGGATGCTGTATGCGAGTTTTGTCAAGGGCGGGTTCTTGGAGGGGACGATTGAGGGGTTGGAGAGGATGAAGCAGGAGGGGGAGGTGGAGGAGAGGGTGAGGGAGGTCACTGGGGCTGTGGCGCCTCAGAGTTTCAGTACGAGTATTGCGAACATGACGACGACGACAAAGGTGAACGGGAAGAGGAAAGAGGGAGAGACAAAGGAGGAGAGGAGGGCGAGGAAGGCTGCTAAGGCGGCGAGGAAGACGGCGAGGGAAGCGAGGAGGGTTGATCGGGCAGCGAAGAAGGTGTTGAAGGAGGAGAAGAGGGCGCGGAGAAAGGTAAAGGAGGCGAAGAGGGAAGCGAGGAAAGCGGAGAAGGCGAAGAAGGCGGTGTCTGGTTGATGTTGTGGGCTGAGATGAGGATGGGTTTCTGGACCGAAAAGGGGTGACAAACGTGGACATGTTCCGCCGCGCATTACCAACCCGAAAACGAGACCCCGTCGCCGTGGCTACTTCGCCGAAGAGCGAGAGGCTGTGCGGCGCCGACGTCGATGGACATCAACCGCTGGCTTCGCGGCTTCATGGGAGGGCTGGGGCCGTGGAAAGGCGATTTTGTCAATAACAGGGTGACTATGTTATCATATGGCGCAAAGGTATATCCAAAAAGCATTGATTGATAGAAGATAGAGGCCACGCCGTCCTGCGCGGACGTCAGAGCAAACGGGCTCTGTGGCAGTTACAGGCTGCTATTTCGATGATAGTAGATTAAATGTCGGATGGCTAGATCATCGACCAGAATTCATGATGTTCTTGTTCTCTGCAGTTTGGCCTCAGCCTTCTAAAGTGATGTATAACTCATCTCCCTTTAAAGAGCCGTTAGGAATTGAGCTAGATATGAAATCTCCCTATGGGTAGCTCTATCTCATGCTTACCACCCCCTCGTCCTTCTCTAAGCAGTCTGCCGTCTATGCGGATTCAGACCTATCTATGTCCCTCTTACGGCGCGTAGACTAGGGGGGCTCCTAGACCAGCCGATAGCAGAGTCAAGATTTCTCATCCGAGAGATTCAAGGCATTCAAGTCTCCTTGGGGGTCTTCCCTGGTTTGTTGGAGAGCAGCCACGGCCTCCTATCCCAAAAGTCGTCCTTGATAATGTCGAGGTGCTCGATAACGACGCGGGCCTTGGTGCGCTTTTTCTTGTCCTTCTCCGCTTGCGTCTTGCTCTGTTGGACAGGCTCCGCGAGCGCATCTGCCGCCTGCGCGGCGTTGTGCGTACCTGGATCGACGAGCTCGTACTGTAAAATGATATCTTGGTCAGGGAAATTTCTGCGTCTCACGCATCCTGTCAATGAGACAGCTTGGCATGACTCACATCTCGGAAGACTACACTGCCTTTCTTGTTGATCTCGGGTTCGTTGTTGTAGTTGATCTTGAATTTTGAGAAAAGGATCTCGTTCTTGTCTCCGGATAGGGTGCCCTTGTGATATAGTTAGATCATTTTTGCATGAGTATGCCTTGGTCAAGGAAATCTCACTGCCAGGAGCTTCTCTGCCTCTCTGTTGTCTAGACCACCTAATTGGATTAGAGCCCAGAATGTTGTGTTGTAGAGATTGTTGATATGGCCTTTTACTAGGTTAGTTTCCTCAGAGCACGAAAAACAATGTTGATAGAGCACTCACAATCGACTTGGCGCCAGCTCATGTAGTCTCTCAAGTTCGACACGGTAGGATAGCACACTGCCCTCCCGTCAAAGCTCGGCAGAGGCGAGGTGAGCGGGGTATCTGGGAAGTACTGCGACCATAAGTGCACGTAATTGGCAGTGAACGTGGACACGACTGTGCTCGAGATCTTGCTAAAGAAATTTAGCAAATGCAGCTTGAAATATTGGGAGCAAACCCAGTGAGGAGTTTCCGAGAGGGCGACTCGCTTACCTGGCTCTTCTGTCGAAGAGGGTACATGATTTGTGAAACACGAAGCTGTACTCATCGCTGACACCGTAGGCGATGGTGATATCGGGGAGCTCGGTGACGACGACCCTCGCGGCGGCGTTCATGAGGTCGATGGCCCTCTTGTCGTTGGGCTTTTCAAAGCCATACTTTGCACATAATCTACGTGGTGTAAGGCAACTTCGATAAAGGCAGATTTCCCCTCGACCCTCCTGACTTACTTGGTGAAACCTCGCCCGTCTATGCGGACGACGATCCAAGTGTTTGGCAAGAGAAAGTCGGGCTGCTCGAAGCTCTTGACGTATTCAAATCTGGAGAGGCGGTCAGATCAAAATTCAATAGGACGGTGTAAACTGGCCATGGACTCTTACTTGGAGTTCGCCATTGTGAAGATGTGGAAGAACTAACCGTCTGAGGTCTACTGCAAGCCAGTGTTGTTGGAGACGAACTTCAGACAGCCCAGCAGACGGGATGGCGGGGGAGGGGTTGTTCTGCCGCTGCTTCAGGGGGGTCTAAATCTGAGCTGAAATGTGTGCAAGGATCAGGGATGTGGAAAGGCAGCAGTCCCCTTTCATGCTTCCCATCATGTATCCCACCATAGACAAGCTGTATTATTCGTTTTTCTACTTGAATTTTTCTGCGAATTACAAAAGTATACAAATGGGGAAGTTACTCCCACTGTTCTTACATAAAGGAAGTAGAACGAATATACAGGAGAGACGACTCCGTCCTCTAGTCCTCTCCTGGTTGTGCCTACTGCAAGTTAATTGCGACGCGCAATCAGCGTCTACGAGCGATATTCGGTCACCAAGTATCATCGATCTTCAGCGGCAAGTCGCCCTTTATAGAACCTGAATCGTTGAAATATACCTACACCTCTTTTGTCTGAGATCCTCTTTCAAATTTACATATGCGAAGGCTCGGAAAGGTGCTATAGGTATATCTGAGGTACTCCGGTGGTAGGCAGCGTTGTGGGGCCCGATCCCTGGAGCGCTCCAGCCTTGTAGGCGCAAGAAAGGCAGTCGCATGCGCACGGCTGCACTCCAACAATTACCTATTCTGCGAATCCACCCCAAGTTTGCGACCTGCACCATCACACCCCTCAATCCAACGCACGCAAAGCTTGGCTAGTTTGCCCGCTTGCGGAAGCAACTGAGCCTCCCGTGACCATGAACTTCCTTCTCAGTAATGAAGAGAATGAGGCCATCGCCGCGGTCGAAGCTATCAACGCGATCAACAACACGAACACAATCCGATCTGGACATTCAACATGCCTACGATTCAACCGATCGGGCGACCTCTTGGCCTCTGGGAGGGTGGACGGCACAGTGGTCATCTGGGATATCGAAACAATGGGCGTAGCGAGGAAGATGCGCGGCCACCACAGAAGCATCACTTCGCTGAGTTGGTCTAGATGCGGCCGGTATCTACTGTCAGCGTGCCAAGGATGGAAGGCTGTCTTATGGGATTTGAAAGATGGCAAACGGTATCGTGAGGTCCGTTTCCGGGCTCCGGCATACATCGCGGAGCTCAATCCCTTCAACCAGTGAGTTGGATAGCCCCAATATCCGTGAAGTTGAGAGTTTGCTAACTTGGCAAGTCACCAATTTGTGGCCTCGATTTTTGAGGATCAGCCGATCCTCGTCGATGTGTCAGACGTGACCGATGTCAAATACCCCCTCAGCTCGGCACCGAAACGCCCCGACATCGACGGCGAACCTACCGAGAAACAGTTGAAAGACGACGCCAAACAGATGACCACCGTCACGATATTCACCTCTACGGGAGAGCATATCCTTGCGGGAACCAACAAGGGATGGATCAACGTCATCGACGCAAAGACTCGGAAGACGATATACTCAGAAAAGCCATGCAGCGGTGTTATTACAACATTGCGCCTGAACAACTCGGGGAGGGTTCTCCTGATCAACGCCCAAGACCGCATTGTCAGAACCTTCCATATTCCAAATCTCGCGGCCGAGGACCTCGACCTCGATACCATACACTTCACAGAAGAACACAAGTTCTCAGACCAAGTTAACAGGCTGTCATGGAACCACGTCACGTTCAGTTCCGCGTCCGAGTACGTCGCGGCATCAACGTACAACAACCACGAGATTTATGTCTGGGACAGAGGCATGGGCAGTACAGGTCTGATCAGAATACTGGACGGCCCCAAGGAAGAGCAAGGCGTTGTGGAATGGCACCCGGATCGACCCTTCATCGCAACGTGCGGCCTCGAGACGGGGAGAATATACATCTGGTCCGTCATACCCGAGCAGAAGTGGTCCAGACTTGCGCCCGACTTTGCGCAGGTTGAGGAGAACCAGGAGTACGAGGAACTGGAGGACGAATTCGACATATATGGCCAGGAGGAGCTGCAAAAGAGACGCTTAGACGCGGAGGATGAGGAAGTGGATGTCGTTACTTCCACGGTTATCAATGGGCACATTAGCGATGCTGGAGCCTTCCGAATGCCGATACTCTTCGACCTCGGAGAGAGCGATAGCGAGGAAGAGTTCGTTGCGGTATCTACCGGTACCATGCGGAGAAGGAGTCCGGGTGCGGACGGTGAGATACCGGACAGCGAAGTCGTGGAGGATAAGATGACCTCTCGAAAGGGTAGGATTGGTGGCAAAGGTCGGAGAAGATGAAGAAAATAATACCCCGAGGCGTTGATGGTTTCTGCGTTGACAGGCAGGCTTCTAAATGAACTAAAGTTGAAGCGTGAACACCAAAAACGCGTGACATGGCGTTGGATCGCGTCGCCATGGGACGAGCTTCGTTGGTGTGCGGACCCTTGCTCGGACTTAGCGCGATGGGGCTTGTAGTGATGTAAACCAGAATGATTCAGGACTCTAAGAGCCCTCGAAGCTGGGTGGCTGCTTAATAATGACGAGACTTCGACAGCCATTGGGGGAAATGCTAGACAAAGCGAGGGAGTCGAGTCTCAAAAATCCTCAGCCATCAAGTCTTGTCGACGCCAATCTCATCTTTACCGCTGCAAAGGTTCCCCCAGGAATTCTTGACTCATCGGCGTGATGCAGGCTTGCAGCTGAAGTTCCTCAGGACCTTTTCTTCTCGCACAGTGAGCGATTCACTATGGGAAATGTACATAGCAGAACGGAGAGTATTGAGTACCCAGTACTTAAGTCCGTCGGCGATTGCTCCTGCTGTTTCATGACTTTTGTGGGTACCCTCGACCTCGGGCACGCGTATCCAGCCTGAGGAAGGTAAAGGAGGATATTTGCCAAATCCGGCTAGCGTGCTTTTGCCGGCTGCGCCAGCCGCCTGGAGGCAAGATTTGTTTCTGACCTCGCTCCTCATTCTCGCCTCCACGGTCTTGACTTCTACAACTCCGCCAATCCACGCATCGACAATCACCACGCGCGTCGGAAATCGCGCCCCTGGACCGCACATTCATTTCCGACACGATACACGACTTGATACGATCGCGATATTTTTTCGATTCTTCGACACACTTACGGTCGCGGCGATTGGGAGGATCAGTGGAACCTTCTCCTGGGCCGCTGGCCGGGGACTGGTGTAGTCAAGAGCGCCATCGATAGACGACCTTGTCCGATTTTTTCATCTCGAAAAGCGTTTCGCGCGATAGATCTTCGCTTTCCGATTTTATTGCGCCTCGTTTGCGACATTTCCGGGTCGCGTAACGACAATCGGCGACTCCTGTCTGTTTTCCGACACCTTACCCCGTGATCCCCCGTCGACACATTCTTTCCCAACGACATCGAAAACACCATCAAAATGGCGAACCTGTACTTCACGCACTCGAGTGCGCCGATCAAAACGGTCGAGGAGATTCAGTTCGGCCTCATGGCTCCTGAGGAGATCAAGAACATGAGTGTCTGTCACTGTGTCTACCCCGAGACCATGGACGAGACGCGGACAAAGCCCCGCGACGGCGGTCTGAACGATCCTCTCCTCGGTTCCATCGATCGTCAATTCAAGTGCAAGACCTGCAACCAGGCGATGGGTGAATGTCCTGGACATTTCGGCCACATCGAGCTGGCGAAGCCCGTCTACCATCCTGGCTTTATCAAGAAAGTCAAGAAGGTTTTGGAGATTGTCTGCCATAACTGCAGCAAGGTCTTGGCCGACAGAGTTAGTCTACTCTACGATGTCTGACAGCCGCCTTGACTTGATTTTGCTAACCTGGCTTCTCAGAGCGACCCTGAATTTCTCCAAGCTGTGAACACGAGAGACCCCAAGGTTCGCTTCAACCGCATCTGGAACATTTGCAAGAAGAAGACTCGTTGCGAAAACGAGGTCAAGGAGCAGAAGCCCGATGATGGAGAGTACGGCCTGAACATGAAGCAGGCTCCCGTCAACCACGGCGGCTGTGGAAACATTCAGCCTAGGGTACGGCACAAGGCTCTGCAGCTCATTGCAAAGTACGAGGCTCAAGGTGAAGATGGCGTCAAGAAGAAGGAGGAGCCTCCAATCACCCCAGAGATGGCCCACAACATCCTGCGTCGCATTAGTGACGACGATCTGAGAGATATGGGCCTCAACCTCGAGTACGCTCGCCCAGAGTGGATGATCGTGACCGTTCTTCCCGTTCCGCCCCCGCCTGTCCGTCCTAGTATTTCTATGGACGGAACCGGTCAGGGACTCAGAAACGAAGACGATTTGACCTACAAACTCGGTGATATCATTCGCGCCAACAGCAACGTCAAGCAGGCCATTCGCGAAGGCTCACCTGCTCATATTGCGCAAGATTTCGAGCAGCTCTTGCAGTACCATGTGGCTACGTACATGGACAACGACATCGCCGGCCAACCTCGTGCGCTGCAAAAGAGTGGTCGTCCCGTCAAGGCTATTCGTGCACGTCTTAAGGGCAAGGAGGGTCGTCTTCGTGGCAATTTGATGGGAAAGCGTGTCGACTTTTCGGCACGTACTGTCATCACTGGTGATGCCAACTTGTCTCTTGACGAGGTTGGTGTTCCCCGCAGTATCGCAAGAACTCTCACCTACCCCGAGACCGTTACTCCGTACAACATCGGCAGGCTACACGAGCTTGTTCAAAACGGGCCCAACGAGCATCCGGGAGCCAAGTACGTCATTCGCTCCGACGGTACAAGAATTGACTTGCGCCACCACCGCAGAGCTGGACAAATTTCTTTGGAGTACGGCTGGAAGGTCGAGCGTCATCTGATCACGGGCGATTATATCATTTTCAACCGTCAGCCATCTCTGCACAAGGAGTCGATGATGGGTCACAGAGTCCGCGTCATGCCCTACTCAACTTTCCGTCTAAACTTGTCCGTCACCTCCCCCTACAACGCCGATTTCGACGGTGACGAGATGAACCTACACGTTCCCCAAAGTGAGGAGACGAGGGCTGAAGTCAAGGAGCTGTGCTTGGTCCCCATCAACATCGTTTCTCCGCAAAGAAACGGTCCTCTGATGGGTATCGTGCAGGACACTCTTGCTGGTGCCTACAAGCTGTGTCGTCGTGATGTGTTCCTCACCAAGGAGCAGGTCATGAACATCATGCTATGGGTTCCCAACTGGGATGGCAACATTCCCCAACCCGCCATCATTCGGCCCCGACCAAGGTGGACTGGTAAGCAGATCATGAGCATGGCAGTTCCCAACATTGTCAGCTTGCACAGCGCCCCTGATTCGAAGGAGGAGAACCCCCTGAAGGATGAGGGTCTCCTGATTCAGTCAGGACAGATCATGTACGGTCTGCTTTCCAAGAAGAACATTGGTGCTGCCAGTGGTGGTATCGTCCATATTGTCTACAATGAGCATGGACCTCAAGCGGCCATGAAGTTCTTGGTTGGTGTCCAGCAAACAGTTAACTACTGGCTGCTACACAACGGCTTCAGTATCGGTATCGGCGACACGATTCCCGACAAGATCACCATTGAGAAGGTCCAGATCCACATTGACGAGCACAAGGCCGAGGTCGAGGAGTTCACAAGACAAGCTACTGCTAACGAGCTGGAGCCTCTGCCCGGTATGAACATTCGTGAGACTTTCGAGAGCAAGGTTTCGAAGGCCCTGAACACTGCTCGTGATAAGGCCGGTACAACTACGCAGAAGAGTTTGAAGGATTTGAACAATGCTGTCACCATGGCATCGTCCGGTTCCAAGGGTTCATCCATCAACATTTCCCAGATGACTGCCCTGGTCGGACAGCAAATCGTCGAAGGAAAGCGCATTCCTTTCGGCTTCAAGTACCGCACCTTGCCGCATTTCACCAAGGACGACTACTCGCCCGAGGCTCGTGGTTTCGTCGAGAACTCGTATCTCCGTGGTCTCACGCCTAGTGAATTCTTCTTCCACGCTATGGCTGGTAGAGAAGGTTTGATCGATACCGCTGTCAAGACCGCCGAGACCGGTTACATCCAGCGTCGTCTTGTCAAGGCGCTCGAGGACGTGAGTGCCAAGTACGATGGTACCGTCAGAAACTCTCTGGGTGATATCCTACAGTTTCTGTACGGTGAGGATGGTCTCGATGCCATCTACATCGAGAAGCAGCGTATGGACCACCTCAACATGTCCCACAAGAAGTTCGCCGACCGATTCCGTCTGGATGTCATGGACGAGAACAGGCCGGAAGAGCTTGAGTGGCTCGAGTACGGCAACGAGATGGCAGGCGACCCGGCCGTTCAGCAGCTTCTTGATGAAGAGTTCGAAGCTTTGCTCTCTGATCGCAAGCAGGTTCGCGAGATCAATTTTAAGAGGAAGGATGATGAGTCGATGCAGTTGCCCTTGAACTTGATCCGTCTTATGGAGACTGCCAAGAAGCTCTTTGCTGTTGAAGATTTCCAGCGAAGCGACTTGCGACCTCAAGATGTCATCCCCAAAGTACAGGAGATGCTCAAGAGAATGACCATCGTCCGTGGCAAGGATGACATCTCCAAGGAGGCTGATTACAGTGCCACGATTCTCTTCAAGGCGCAGATCCGCTCTCGACTCGCGTTCAAGCGTATTGCTTGCCAGCAACGCCTAAATAAGATGGCTTTCGAGCATGTCTTGGGAGAGCTTGAAGCCCGCTGGGACCGAGCCTTTGTTAGTCCTGGAGAGATGGTTGGTGTCATCGCGGCCCAGTCTATTGGTGAGCCTGCCACTCAGATGACACTGAACACCTTCCATTTCGCTGGTGTCTCTTCCAAGAACGTCACTCTCGGTGTCCCTCGTCTCAAGGAAATTCTCAACTTGGCCCAGAACATCAAGACTCCTTCCATGGTTGTTTATCTGAGTGGTGAGGACAACGCCAGTCAAGAAGCTGCCAAGCAACTTCGAAGCACGGTCGAACACACGACGCTGCGCTCCGTCACGGCTGTCACCGAGATCTACTACGACCCTGAGATCACTTCAACCAACATTCCCGATGATCTGGATATGGTTGAGTCTTACTACCTTATCCCCGACGAGTCGCACGACAAGACGGAAGACCAATCCAGATGGCTGCTTCGTCTCACTCTGGACCGCCAGAAGCTTCTTGACAAGGAGCTGACTGTTGAGGACGTTGCTAGGCGCATCAAGGAGGAGTACCCCAACGATCTTGCTGTCATCTTCAGTGATAACAACGCTGAAGAGCAAATCATTCGTATTCGTCCCATGCATGCAGGCAATGACAAGGACGAAGATGGTGAGAAGAAGATTGAGGACGACGTCA